TCCTCATCATCATCCTCATCATCATCCTCATCATCATCCTCATCATCATCATCATGCTCATCATCATTCTCGTTCGCATCATCAACATCATCATCATCCTCATCATCATCCTCATCATCATCCTCATCTCTATTCTCATCACCAACCTCACCAGCATCTTCATCATCATCCTCATCCTCATCATCGTCCTCATCATCATCATCATGATCATCCTCATCATCATTCTCATTATCATCCTCATCGTCATCATCATCAGCCCCATCGTCATCATCATCATCATCCTTAACATCATTCTCATCATCAAACTCATCATCATCCTCATCATCATCCTCATCGTCATCCTCATCATCATCCTCATCATCATGTTCACCATTATCCTCATCATCATCCTCATCCTCGTCCACATTATCAACCTCATCGGCATCTTCATCATCATCTTCATCCTCCTCCTCATCATCATCATCATCCCCATCAGCATCCTCTTCATCAACGTCATCATCATCCTCGTCGTCATACTCCTTATCATCCTCATCATCCTCACCCTCCTGCTTACCATCATTCTGATCATCATCCTCATCATCACCCTCATCGTCATCGTCATGATCATCCTCATCATCATCCTCATCATCATCCTCATCATCATCCTCATCATCATCCTCATTATCATCGGAATCATCATCCTCATCATCACCCATATTATCATCCTCATCATCATCCTCCTCCTCATAATCATCCTAATTATCATCCTCATCAACGTCCTCATCATAATCCTCATCATCATCCTCGTCATCCTCCTCATAATCATCATCTTCGACGTCATACTCACTATCATCCTCGTCATCATCTTCATCGTCATCCTAATTTTTATCCTCATCATCATCGTCATCTTCATTATCATCATCGCCCTCATCATCAACCACATAGTCATCCTCATCCTCATCATCATCCTCATCGTCATCCTCATCATTATGTTAATCATCATCATCAACCTCATCATCATCCTCATCATCATCCTCATTCTCATCCTCATCCTCATCCTCATCGTCAACCTCATCATCATCTTCGTCATCATCCACGTCATCAGTCTGATCATCATCCTCAAAATCATCCACATCATCATCCTAATCATCATATTCATCATCATACACATCATAACCCTCATCATCATGTTCATCATCATTCTCGTCAAGATCATCGTCCTCATCATCGTCCTCATCATCGTCCTCATCATCATCCTCATCATCTTCCTCATCATTATCGGCATCATTATCTTTATCATCATCATCCTCATTAAGATACTCATGATCATCCTCATCATCATCTTCATCATGATCCATATTATTATCCTCATCGTCACCATCATCCTCCTATCCTCACTACCCTCATCATCACCCTCATCATCATCCTAATCATCAGCCTGATCATCAGCCTGATCATCCTATTCCTCGTTATCACCATGATCAGTCTCATCCTCATCCTCACACTCATCCTCATCATCATCCACAATATCATGCTAATCATCATCATCGGCCTCAACATCATTCTCATCATCATCCTAATCATCATCATCATTATCATCCTCAACATAATCCTCATCGTCATCCTCATCATCATCCTCATCACCATTATCATCATCACCCTCATCATCAACGTCATCATCATCCTTATCCTCATCGTCATCATCGGCCTCATCTTCCTATTGCTCGTCATCACCATCATCATTCTCATCCTCATTATCATCATCTTACTCATCATCATCCTCATCATTATGCTCATCATCATCCTCATCATTATCATCCTCGTCATCATCCTCATCATCATCATCATCATCATCCTCATCATCATCCTGATCATCATCCTCATCAACATTCTCATCATCATCCTCATCGTCATGCTCATCATCAGCCTCAACATCATCCTCATCATCATCCTCATCGTCATCATCGTGATCGTCATCGTTGTCACCATCATCGTCCTCATTATCATCCTTATCAACATCCTCATCATTAGCCTCATCATCATACTCATCATCATCCTCATCAAAATCCTCATCATCACCCTCATCGTCATCGTCATCATCATCCTCATCATCATTCTCATCATCATCGTCATCATCATCCTCACCATCCTCGTCATCATGTTCATCATTATCCTCATCATCACACTCATCGTCATAGTCATCGTCATCCTCATCATCAGCCTCATCATCATAATCATCACCATCCTCATCATCATCCTCATGATCACCCTCATCGTCATAGTCATCACCAACCTCATCACCATCCTCATCATCATCCTCATCATCATCCTTATCATCATCCCCATCATCATTCTCATCATCGTCCTCAGCATCAACCTCATCGTCATCCTCATCATCATCCTCATCATCATACTCATCATCATTTTCATCATCATCATTATCATCCTCATGAACATCCTCATCATCATCCTCATCATCAAACTCATCGTCATCGTCATCGTCAACCTCATCATCATCCTCATCATCATCAACATCATCATCCTGATCACCATCTTCAAAATCATCTTCATCATCATCCTCATCATCATCTTCATGATCATACTCATCATCATCCTCGTCAGCATCCTCATCATCATTCTCCTCATCGTAGTCGTTCTCATCATCTTCCTCATCATCATCCTCATCATCATCCTCATCAACATCCTCGTCATCATCCTCCTCATCATCATCCTCATCAACATACTCATCATCATCCTAATCATCATCCTCATCATCAGCCTCATCATCCTATTCCTCGTCATCACCATCATCATTATCATCCTCATCCTCACATTCATCCTCATCATCATCCACAATATCATGCTAATCTACATCATCGGCCTCAACATCATCCTCATCATCATCATCATTATCATCCTCACCATAATCCTCAACGTCATCCTCATCATCATGCTCATCATCATTATCATCATCACCCTCATCATCAACGTCATCATCATCCTCATCCTCATCCTCATCATCGGCCTCATCATCCTATTCCTCGTCATCACCATCATCATTCTCATCCTCATTATCATAATCATACTCATCATCATCCTCATCCATATCCTCATCAACATCCTCATCATTATCATACTCATCATCATCCTCATCATTATCATCATCTTCCTCATCATCATCCTCATCATCATCCTCATCATCACCCTCATCGTCATCGTCTTCATCATTCTCATCATCATCCTCATCATCATCCTCATCATCATCCTCATCATCGTCCCCATCATCATTCTCATCATCATCCTCATCATCATCCTCATCATCATCCTCATCATCATTTTCATCATCATTTTCATCATCAGACTCATCATCATCCTCATATTCATCCGCATCATCATCCTCGTCATCATCATCATCATCATCCTCGGCATAATCCTGATCATCATCCTCAAAATCATCCTCATCATCATCCTAATCGTCATCATCATCATCATCCTCATCATCACCGTCATCATCATCCTCATCATCATTCACCGCATCATCATCATCCTCAACATCATCCTCGTCAACATTCGCATCATCATCCCAATTATCATCATCATTATCATCCTCGTCAGCATCCTGATCATCATCCTGATCATCATCCTCATCATCAGCCTAATCATCATCCTCATCATCATATTCAATATTACCGTCATCATGATGCTCATCCTCCTATCGTCACCACCCTCATCATCAACTTGATCATCATGCTATTCATCATCCTCATCATCAGCCTCATCATCCTTATCCTCGTCATCACATCACCATTCTCATCCTTATCCACGTACTCATCCTCATCTTCATCAACATCATCATGCTTATCATCATCATCAACCTCATCATCATCCTCATCATCACACTCATCGTCATACTCACCTCCATACTCAAGATCATCCTCATCATCATCCTCATCATCATCCACATCGTGATCCTCATCATCATCCTTATCATCATCCTCCACATCATCCTCAGCATCATGCTCATCATCGTTATCATCGTCATCCTCATCATCATCCTTATCAACATCGTCATCATCAGCCTAATCATCATACTCATCATCATCCCCATCATCATCCTCATGATCACCCTCATCGTCATCGTAATCATCATCCTCATCATCATCCTCATCATCATCATCATCATCATCCTCATCATCATGCTCATCATCATCCTAATCAACGTCCACATCATTATCCTCATTATTAACCCCATCAACATCCTCATCTTCCTATCATCACCACCATCATCATCAACCGGATCATCATGCTATCCATCATCCTCATCATCAGCCTCATCATCCTAATCCTCGTCGTCACATCATCATTCACATCCTTGTCCACTTACTCATCCTCATCTTCATCCACATCATCATGCTTATCATCATCATCGGCCTCGTCATCGTCCTCATCAGCATACTCATCATCATCATCCTCATCCTCATCATCATCCTCATCAGCATCCTAATCATCATCCTCATCATCATCCTCATCA